GGGATAAACGTAGAATCCCTAGTTTTTCCAACAAATATTCTAACTTAAGAATTTTCGTCTTTGCAATCGCGAAAAATAAATTTACCACACATTACACAAAAGTTGAGACTAATCGTGTTGCTTCATACTGAATAGCTTAAGGTAATGTTTTGTAATTAATTGTTACGTGTCGAGCAGATTTTCTTTCGCAAAAATACTTCAAAGTCGTAATTTAATTGCCCTTTGTTATATTAAAAAACGAATACAATAAATTCTAATTCTAATTTTAAAGAAATCTGGTTTTTTTATCTTCGAATCTAATCTCGCCGAGGACAGGTTTTCAATATAAAGCAATACTAGAAACTGATCCATTTTTGAAGTTTCTTACCTTGAACAGTGAACGTATAAAAGAGTATTCCCTCGATGGGTCCCTCCGTATGCGAGGCATAATGTATTTATTTTAATGTTCTTCACATGGTCAGTAGAAATTGATTGTTAATGATAAATCGCAAGATATTAAATTATTCATTATCACATGTTGATCTTTAATTGCTATTAATTATGCACAACAGAAATCGCATGACTGGTATAAAGTGGCACAAAAACTACTCTCTCCACTAAGGGTAGTACACAATAGTAATATCCTAAAATCGATAAGCCTTTCTTGTAGTGTAGAAAAAATCCCCTTAACGACAAATTGCACCTCTGATGTCGGATAAAAAGGACGCTGATTAGCAAAATTACATGCACTTTTTATTATCCTCTTTCAAAGCAGACGTTCGGTCATAAGCGCGGGTAGACAAATTTTACGGTATTTCGAGTGGACACAGGCTAGTGTTGACTTATTAGATTAATTACAAGGCACTGCAGTTTAGTTGGTATGCAGATCCATGAGCGAAATTGTGAACATCTTGCTCCAATGACTATTAATCACACGTGAGTCTGAAGAAAGAAGCCTATGATGCCATTATACAGGCTTCTTAAAAAGGCATTAACAGAATAAAAAAAAAACTGGATAAGCTTGATTGTTTATAGCTTTAGAAGTCTAGATGTAATTAGTTTTTAAAAACTTTTTGTTCTCCATACGAAATCGTAACAGACACATATGGTACAAACTGTCACCTAAGTGAATAGCTCTCTATATGAAAAGTGTTTTCTAACGATTTGGCAATGAAAATAAGCAGAAAAGTTTGCAAAGAATCGATAATGAGAAGGCGAAGGACCTTTGCATGGGTCATTCTTTGCAATCTGATTTAGAAAAATAATTTCAGATTTGACTTGCGTGATTTGCTTTCGTTTCCTCAAAGGAAATGACTTTTTATTGGCTGTCTTTGGGTAAAATGCTTTGTTTTCGCATTCTTAAGTAATCTCCAGCCTTGACCTTATTCCTGCAGCCATTACTCTGCCAATTTAATCTAGTTATCCCTTTTATTGGAACTATATATATGCATTCCAAAACTTTACCAATTTAATCTAATTATCCCTTTACTGGAATTATTTACATGCATTCCAAATACTTTACCAATTTAATCTAGTTATCCCTTTTATTGGAACTATGAACATGCATTCCAAACTTTTCATTAATAACAAACGTGTCGACCCATTACTGCAAAGTCCACATTGCCAAACCACTCACTCGCTGATTTTTCAGATTAACACTGTCCATCCATCGTCCGTACGTTAACATCTGAGCATTTTCAGCATCTCTCTTACGGCTAAGCCAATTCCATCCATTTTGATTTGGTATATATACAGCACCCACAGGCAAAAGGATAGATAAATTGTGAATATTATACTCCCTGTGTCTTTAGGGGTGGGGCCAGTCATCAAAATTTATAAAAATTTCTTCATTTTTGGACATTAATCAGTCAAACTGTTGGGCTGAATATAATACGCAATGAGTGCTCTACCAATATTCGGGAATTCCTGGAACCTTGGTGCAGTGCTCAGGCTCCAGGGCGGGGCTAAGTTTTCATATATATGTTTTTAAATCTTCTTTACTCATGGACATCTAGCTGACAAACTGTTTGCGTGGTTATAAGGAACACTCAACGTATTGTTTTGTGGATTCAAGTTCGGTCATATCTTTACATATACCAAGTACCACTTTAAGTTAAGCTGGAGCAAATACTGGACCAAATTATTGGATCAAAATTTTTCATGGGAATAAATAGGTAAATTTCTTTGTAGAAATCTTCCTCTGAAAAAAAGCAGGGCGAGAGGACTCGGTGAGCGGTGTGGTCAATGGGCCTCTTGTTCTTACTTCTTGGTTTATTTATCTTTTTGATAGATATACCTCATGAATATGAATTTCTACAGCTGTTTGACCACTGAAGCAACCTTTTCATTTGAAAAGACAGTAATGAAACATCTCTTCTCGTGTAAGTAGTAGATAGGGTAAATCAATTAATAATAAAAGTATTTAATGAATTACCTGCTGGACTCTTTTTTATAAAAATATCATGGTGTAGATATTGATGATTGTTGAATCAAGTAAAGCATTGTAAGAATACTTTTTAGTGTCGTTGGAAACATTTTTTTCGGAGATGAACGGTTGCATACATTGCTTAAATTACCGTTATACAGGAGTCACATCAACTTTATTTTATCAAACTTTGAAATGTTTTTGAAATGTTTAACAAAGCCCCCCCCCCCCCCCCCCCCGAACTCTGATTGACAGTGCAGACTGCAGAGTGCAACTAATTTTATGTGCCGAGCCGAATGAAAGTTGATTATTTGTAAAACTGATTGCAAAAGAAAAACAATTGCTAGGAAATGTTTGCACCTTAGTTTCATTTAGAAAGCCCATTCGGTAATAAAGGGCACGACTAGAAGTTATGATAATATCATCTATTTCGTGGTTAGCACACATGATATTATAGGCAATGTAGACAAATTTTTCGCAATAGAAAACTAAAGACAGCTTGGTATAATAATAGTAATACTTAAATAATCTCTATCTGTGCATTATCCGATATCTAGCATTTTAACTTTACGTCTTCACATAGCTGGAAATAATTATACACCACCTCTCCTGTTTTTAAATAATCATGTAGTGAAATTATTCATTACATGTACTTCTTTTTAACGACGTGTATTCTTATATTTTTCACAATAATGAATGTTGGTTGCAGAAGTTTCAAATTATTAAGATATTTGTGCATCTAACAAAGTAACATTTCACATGGACACGTACCGATATTCGCAACCAATTACTGTTCACAAAAGACATACACATGTTCAACAAAACATATTTATTGTTTCAATATTTGCCGTTGTTGCTAGACTATGATCTGCATCAATGAATAGTATTCCTTGCCCATGACACATAAAACAAAAATTATGAATAGAAAAATATGGCGATTATGTATTTTTCTAAGCCATCTCTCTATTCGGACAAAAATATACCCCAAGACCAACACATTAAATCCTCTAAAATTCATAAACGTGTTTTGGCCGTGGAATAATTAAATCTTTCAGAATGCAGTAACTTAATTCAACTGGCGTTTTCACAATTATTCAATGAATGAAAGATTGTTCAAAACGTGTGTTTCTTTTGTCAACTCAAGGTCACGAAAACTCCTGTGTTTGAAAGAGAAGATGTTGCAGGACTTACCTTATCTTCTGTGGATTTCGTATCCTCTGTGGCCATTTTTAATTACAAATGATTGTGTACAGGGTAATTTGCAGTAAGAGAACATACGGGTGGCCGATGGCCGAATGTTATGATGTTCAGGTTGAATGCATGATAGGCTTAACATGTGAAATAAATGCTGTGAGAATTCAATAGGGTATCTGGAATATGGGTTTAAAAGGCAGTTTCCATCCACAGGTAGATGAGGTTAGAGGTATGTAGGTCTTTTGAAACGGTCATATACCTCTACAATTTTCTAATTCATTCACGCGTACGCGTGCTTGTAAATGTTAAGTCGAAATCTTTTCCCGAAGCCAAACCCTTTTAATCGTGCGAAACAAGACAATACTATTTAACAAGTAATCTAATTTACCTCAAGCAAAAGTGTGCGGCAAAGAGCGCAAAATAGAATTATCTCTTGTAAGAAAATTAAACCACCTGGACCTTTGACGGTTGTTCATTCTAGGCGATTGTTGTGAATAAAGCAACCGGTCCATCTTGAAGACAATGTTATCTTGATTCTCCGTGATCATGTTCAATATTTTTTTTTTACATTGATAAATATTTTTCTTGTAAATACTGCAAAATTTATATACATTTTGCGTTTTCACATTGAAAATATTGATTCCTAGCGTTCATTAATGTTTTTAAAATCATTGTATAAGTTTTAATGTTGTGCATTGATGTAAAATGATAGAATACTTACATTTATCTCAAAAGCGCACGGCAATATATAGTAAATGATTAATTTCTTATTAAAAGTTACTATTTATCAAAGATACAGCAAACAGTGCACTTAGTATATTTATCTTTCAGAAACATCTCAGAATATACATTAACTGAAATTTATATATATTTCAAAAATTTCTATTTATTTGTTCTTAGTATGTTTTAAGTAAAATTGGTTTTTCATGCCAATAAAATATTAACATGTACTTTAAAAAATATTGAAATTCATCCCTGATTTCAGTCATAGTGATGTAATATAACCCAGAAATATGCAGATTAAGTCGACCAACTGGATATGGATACACAGCAAGGATAAAGATACGATTCACATAAGGATTCAGTAATACAACACTGCAATTTATTCAAGGCTTAGATACATTTCCTTTATTCCTATACATGTACCTGGAGCTTTTTTTCTTACGTGTAAAAGATATTTTTGCATTTTATTTTTAATACAGTCATGTGATTTTTTTTAGTTTATGTGCGTCACCCAAATATTCTGTTTAACCATTGAAAATGTCTGCAATGAACAGTTCTGAAAATGACTTGCATATGTTTGAACATTGTTTAATGATAAAAAATGTCATGGCAAAGTATTCCTTCGGAAAAAACACTTCACTTTTATTGGAAAAATACATCATTATACCACCAACATACCAAATTTTTAAGAAACAAATGGACTACTAACAGTGGCCAGGTGTAACGGATAGGTCATCAATGGCTAAGTCACTATGATAACCACTTCCGGTATGTCCTTCAATCTCAAACTGAAATTCAACCATGATATCATTACTGCATATCAGTAGAAATCCTACAAAACCCCTTTGAAACTTTTTTTTATGCCAGTGACGTTATATTCTGTTACATTTAATGATGGGCTGATGATTATCATCGAAAAACTGATCAATTTGTTTAGTAATTGGACTATCAAATGCAATAGTTTTAATCAAAATTCAAGAAATAATGTGTTTGTTGCAAATAAATCGAATATTTGTTATTTCTTTATATTACAATATAACTGCCAAATATATATAAAACAAACATTTTTCTATCAATATTATGGAAACTATAACCTGCCTGACACAAACTATGCTATAAGAAAACAAAAGGCCCAAGGGTCTTAACGGTCATCTAAGTATAATGTAACGATTCATATATTAAAATAAAATAAGCTGATATCAAATAAAACTATGTTGCCCAGAAGCAAGAGAAATGGGATAATCAGGGATCAGCAAAATATTAATTTAGTACTCAGTAACAAATCTCAAAGTTGATTTATTTATTTGCCTGTACTTTCGCCATTTGTCACAATCCCAATGCAGACAAAACAAAACAATAGTTCTAAAGCACTGCTAGTTAACACATTTAATTCCCCCTCACATTGGCCTCTATTAGTCTTTGAAGATTATTTAATGTAAAAAGATACGGTGTCCCATTTTCATTTATCTATTATTTAAGACTACCTGACCATTAAAAACTATGAAAGTACTTTTTGTATTAAATATTATAAAAATTCTTGTATAATTCTGTTATTCAATTGACCTTTTTAAGTTACCTTATTTACAGTAATTAACTATCATAGGTGAATAGCAAAGGGGAATAACTTCTTTTAGTAGAAATTAATAAATTGACCAAAGGGTACAGAATTTCAAAATCTGATAAAAACACCCTTGCTTATTGCAACTTTATATATTATGTTTGCCCTCCAGATGCCCAGGAGCAGAGAAGAAGATTTTCAAAGAAATAATCCATTTTAACTATAGATTCAACATAGCCCCACCCTAATACTAGAGCCCCTGACCCAGGGGCAAAGATATTCACAATTTTGGAAGAGGCACCCTTGCTCGTCATAACCATGAACTTATTATGTCTCCTTAAATACAATGGACAGAGGAGATTTTCAAAGAAATATTGCATTCCTATTATATATTCAAAAGAACCTCTCATTAGCCTGAAATCCCTGACCCCGTGGTTATGAATTTCAAACTTTTTGAAAAGACATCCTTGCTCACCATAACCATTCAATTAGTTTTTTTGTTAAACACCCAGAGGCAGAGAAGATTTTCAAAAAAAAAATAATAATAATAAAAATGCATTTCCACTATTTATATAGAAGCCGTCCCCTCAACGCATGAACCCCTGACCCTGGGGCCACAAATTTCACAATTTTGGAAGAGGCATCCTTGCTCATCATAACCATGCACTTAGTTTAATTGCTAAATACCCAGGGGCAGAGTAAAAGATTTACGAAGAATTAATGCAATTTCACTATATAATCAATAGAGCCCCATAACATCAGAACCCCTTACCCAGGGGCCAAGATATTCACAATTTTGGAAGAGGCGATCTTGCTCATCATTATTATGTATTTGGTTCATCTGCTAAATACCTAAGAACAGAGAAAAAGATTTTCAAAGAAATAATGCATTTTCACTGTATAGTCAATAGAGCCCCCCCCCCCTTCCAACAGAAAATTTCACAATTTTGGAAGAGGCATCCTTGATCATCATAACCATGCACCTAGTTTATCTACTTTATATACAGGGAGAGAGAAGATTTTTAAAGAATTTATGCATTTTCACTATATGATCATTAGAGCCCCATCCTAACTCTAGAACCCCTGACCTTTGGGCCATGAATTTCATAATTTGGTAGAGGGCTCAATGCTTATTACAATCATGTTATCAGTTTGACTGCTTGGTGTCAAGGAGTAAAGAAGAAGATTTTTAAAGATTGCACCCCCTCCCCTAGGAGGGCAGGACCATGAAATTAAAATTTTTGTTCCCCCTTACTCATAGATGTTCTATGCCAAAATTTGTTGACATTGGTTCAGCAGTTGCAGAGAAGAAGCTGAAAATGTTCAAAGGTTAACGCAGGACGACGGACGAAAACGAATAGCAATAGGTCATCAATATACTAAATATTTTTTCTTTTAGAGGCTGTCTACCGTATGACTGTCTACATGTGACCAACTCCACAAGATAAGGACTGTCTTTTGCAATACTTATATATATCCAAAAAGAGGATATTTTAAACAAATTAAGCATGATTCCTGATTAAAATCAATTTCAATGCATTTTGATCACGAGTCCAATCTTTTTTGATAATTTTTATTCTTCTAATTTCTAATAACCCTAACTATGGTATTTTGGGAGAGTTTTTATGGTATCGAAAGCTATAGTACTAAGACTGCAAATGATTTTTTATCCCCCCTCCCACCGACCGATTTTAATATTGATGCAACGGTGCATTGATCATTTGCAAAGGAAGAAGCGCAAACTTACATACATTTTACAATGAAAGTATTTCACTTGGGAGGGGGAAATCCATCTGAAATATTATTACCTGGAAGGTAGCGTGGATATTAACACTGAGTCTAAGATGAAGCCACCTGTTGCCATGATCACCAGTATACCTCTTCATGTGGTAGGTGTGGCCGTGCTGGATAAGATTGAATGACAGATACCCGGTCTGTTGTCCATACATATGGAAGTAAGCGCTGAAGCAGTACTGACCAGCTGGGTAAGATGGCGAGTCTAATTTTGCTGTCTTTTGATAATGGCCAGAAGCCTCCATATAAAGGTAATGTCCTGAATATCATCAAAAGCAGTTCATGTTCATAAAAAATAAACTTCTACACATGAAGGAAACAATGAATTGGTTGCATTGTTAGAATGGATATTAAAGTCTGTGTACAGTTTTTTTTAAAGGAGATAAGAATCAGATTATCAGAGGTGCATGGCTATTCATTTCACTGTCACATCTATCATTTTATTAGAGCTTGCATTTGACCTACACAGTTTCTTTTTAAAAAAAAACTCTAAAGAAAACATTTTATTACTACTAAATAGATTCTTAATAGAAGATATTTTGTTGTGTTTTCATCTTAAAATTGGATAGGTATCGGGCTTTCTAATCTACCTGATGAAAGATTAGGGGAAAAAGTATAAAATATTTAGTAAAAATAAGTAGGAAAAATTAGGGAAAAGTAGGAAATTTACCAGAAAAGCTAGTTTTTATCATCTTTTGGTAATAATTTTATCACTGCTCGAATTAAATGCAAATCTAGTCTCAGACTGCATAACCACCATGAGACTTCGCATCTGGAATTACACATATATTAACTAAACATTTACAAGAGGTGTAGCTAGGGACTACTTGATATGGAAACAAAGGAAGAGGGTTCTGTGGACCGCCTTGAGGCTCCCAGTAGGTCCAGGGCAAAGCCCTGGTTCGGGGTGCGGGGGGCAAAGTCCCCGGAAGCTGAACAGCTTAATTTTAGTGTCCCCAAAAGAATATTACTGACAGTATATTAACTGAATTTCAATATAAAAAATTCTTATTTCGCCATGAAATTTTATAATTAAGTAGAAAAGGGCTCTCCTGTATTATGATGGGATTTTATCTGACAAGTCGTGTGCTTTTCATCCTAAGCTCTACATATATTGTTACATATATCATTCATTTTAATTAAATAATTTGTAATTTGCAATCCCACTTACATTATTATTTTTAGTGCACCTTACACATTCAAAAAGTAGTTCTGAAAACTGGAGATCTCATCTACTAGAATATTAAGTGATAACACTTAATTTAAAATCATTGTACATTGTGGTGTCATGGTTGTCGTTTCATGAACAGTGTTTTGCTATGTAAATTGATAACGAGGTGTATATCAAAACCAGTTTCAGTTCTTTATTAGGTGGAAGCGCTTGTATATGCCTAGCTATCACCTTGAATACTCTTTAGAAAAACAACATTGTCTTTTTCTCACTCAGTTTGATTTAAAATCTTTTCTATTTTAGTTTATTTTACTTTAACTTTCTCAATCTCTTTTCATCTGTATTATGATACCTTTCACTTCTTTCTTTCGTGACTAAAAAGTAGGAATAGTTGGAGGATTTTCAAGAAAAGTAGGATAAAGTAAGATCAAAAAGAAATAGTAGGAAAATGTAGGTACAGTAGAAAGCCTGTTGTTTAATACACGAAGTAAACGACGAATCATCCTCAGGTGTAAAATACTAAAATAGGGAAAGTTTTACCTGAAGTACTTCCGTAGTGGTCAGTGGTGGGTCCGGTATTGGCACTAGGTGTACGTCCATGTCCATCTGTCCACTGAAGGTTATCTGTTGTGGATTGGGTCCATCCACAAAGTCCATTGTCAAAAGTGCATGTAGCAGCTGTCAATAAGGAATTAAAAGGTCATCCTGTAAGATCATTTTTACTCTATTATTTTTATGGTGCATAATTAAAATATTCCATCTATGAACTTGTTATGCGAACACGCATATTTCAATTTGAATAAATCTTTAATAAAATACAAGTACCAACTTTTTCTGTAGCAAACGTTTGAAAAGAACTACTATGTTAGCATTTTGAAGGACTGAATATTGAAGTAAAGATATACCTTGGCAGTTAGAACTATGTGGAAAGTGTTCTTTCAAAGATTTATAAGAAAGAAATGACTTATAAAACATAAAGCTTATTCTTAAAATTTAAGCACAATACTCTGGTGACCGTGAAAATCATCCAGATATCACCAATCTACCTATCCTCAGAAGAAAAAGATTAAAAAGCACAACAGACAGTGTTTAACGTAACAAAACGACTCTCTTTCTCTCTCATACGAGACATATATCCGTTGAACATTTACAACAACATACCTCCATTGGATGGGAATGTATCTAAAACGAGAAATAAGGACAATACGCAACAGAATCGACACATGAGTAAATTAAATTGACAATATCTATATGAATCAATTAGATCAATTAGTACAATTCCAACAAAAATGTGGAATTCTTGATGTCGACAAATAGGTTATGTCTAAAGCCTTTCCTTGTGATTTTGAAGAACATCCTATGCATTGAATAAACAAAATGAAAGGATGACAGCACTTAAGGACATGCGAAATTTGCGACAAAATAAACGACCTTTTTTTCTTTTTAATTGCAGGAATGGTCAACATCAAGTCTACAACTTTGCGAAATTACTTAAATAAAAGTAAGTACAAATGTATTTACAAAGTACGAATCTGTTTTCAAAGGCGGGGTCATCATAATTTCTTGAATCTCCGTACGATAATTAGTATGCCCACTCTTTCGCTCACTTTATACATAGTCTGCTTATGTTTGTCTATTGTTTTTCGTTGAATAGTAGTTGTAAATTTCTATTTATAATGTTGTGTCAAAAGCAGAATAATAGACAAACATGCGCTCGTGGTTTAAAAGAGAAAAAAATGCATCTTCTTACATTTGTTCTCTCTGTTTTAACCAAGGGTTGTGACATATGGAATATTATAATTCACTACTTTCCCTCAGGTAACTCTGTGAAACTAAATTGTAAGGTGGCATATTTTGTGCTAACTAAACATTGTGCTCGAACACGTTAAATTGTTAGACACCGATTTAAAATCTTTTTACCTAACATGGACGTGCTCATATTGTTAATTTCGTTTTGAAACTTTTGTAAATAGTGTACTTGTGCCATACAGAATAAAGAAAGAGATTGCAAAGTGTGATCACGTATTTTTTATACGTCATTGTTATTTTTCTAGCCTAATTTCAGACCCATTCTTACAATCAAAGTTAGCTCCACCTCCAATGCCTACCTTTTGTTCAATCAAAGGCAGGTAAGTGTAAATTCTCTATATTTGGAAAACAGAAATGACAAAAACCATAGAATTAGTTTATTGTATCACAGTCTAAATTCATTTTAAAATATAAATTTGGTACCAAATTGACAGAAATCTTTAATAAATATGAAAGTGAAATTAGGTTAACATATGAAAGCAACAGAAGCGACCGAAAAAGAACCAAACCCCAGCGTTAAGTGCAGTCATCCTTTGCCGAAGTTTTGCGGTGCAATGTTTAAAATGCTGATGCAAAAACAGCATTTCTTGACAGTTTGATGTAAGGCAGGTTTAAAATGCTACTACATGAAATTTCCCTTTATTTGCACAGAATTTTGTTTGAATAAGCATAAGAAAGTAGACTCACGTGGGGTGGCGGTCTGATGATGCACTGTGACCTGAGGAGCAGAGGTAGCCCCTGTTACAGCGCCACCTGGTGGTGATCCAGGTCTAGGAATACAGCCGTAACGAATCTGAATTTCTTTGGCATCGATGTCGCTCAGTCGAACACGTTGACCGATCGTCACGCCGGGCTGCAGAGTCTCAATGGTGACTTGTCGTCTGTTGATGGCGAAAGCATAGGCGCTGTAGTGCATCACGGATCCATAGTCGTAAGGTTCGTTCAACATATCTAGTTGAGGTCCTACCTTGTATTTATCAAAGTTTCTTTCGTGTCCTAAATATCACCAAACACGAATTTAACTCATTAATATAAATATGAAATACTGAAAAATGATTTCTCTATGATATAAATATTTCTGAAAACTTAAATTTCAACCACTTGAAAGAATTGATTCCCACCATGTTGAATGTTTTCGAAGTGAATTTTGACGTAGTTGTCTCTGTCAGCTCTACTTTGTTCGTGCCAGAAACCGAGAGCATGTAAAATTTCATGCATCACAGTTCCTTTCCTCAGGCATCCTGTTCCTAATGTTACGTCAGCACGTCTGCCATGGTAACCAACAGGTGTATGACAGCTAAAGAAATTTCAAAGATATATACAAAATAATTTTATTAATTTCTTTTTGCATATTTAAATAGTAATAACATTGCATAATGAAATGGCATAAGGGTTTTTGAAAAGAAATTTCTACCCCGATCCATATGTGAATTGGATGTAGGCAGCGTCATTTGTTCTTGGCCTGAAGTCTATGCACTTCTTGCCATTTACCATGGTTTTATCCATGATTTCCTGCATGGCGTCCTTGAACAACTGGACGTGTGATGGAATTGCTGAAAATTTAAGAAAACGCTTGAATAAAGATGCTATTAGTAGCTGAAGGCAAGTGTATGATAGGAAAATTTAGATGTACACTTGTTTGGTAGAAGAAACTGGTGTAGATTTAAGTTGGGATATACCTTTACAAAAATGCACAGAAGGTCTAATCAAATCTCTAATTTTATCATAGCAGATTTTAGAGAGAGGCTTAAGGGTTCAGTATTATTATGTTTGGCAATGTTAGAATCTCTCAAAGGTTTTAGTTCAAAATCACATAAATATTTTGAACATTTGCATAAAAAAATACATAAAAAGAGGTACTTCGTATTGGAAAAAAAGAAGGTACGTCGTCTGTACCTGAAAAAGGAGAAAAATGAAAACGCCAAAAACACGTGCCCAGGGCTTGCCCATGCTAATGAATTACAACATCTAAGCGTCATCATGAGGGGACCACATAAATCCGGAAAAATAAATTTCAAAAGAAATTCAGAAACATAGTGATAAATGTCGCTCTCAACAACTATTTATCTTTAACGGATAAATCTGATTACAATAAAACTTGGCAAGATCAAATAATGATTCTGTGATCTTGTTTGAAAGAAAAGTTTCAGCATGTCGAAAAATTTTCACCAGAAAATTTATTACATTTAATCATTTTATCATTTATTATCATTTAAAGAAAGTTTTCTTGGGTCTTCATTCTTAATTCCAAACTCTGGTTCAAACCCACAGCCTTTTAAAGATAAAGCGAGGGACCGAAATCATCTTAAGAAAAAGATTGACCAGGTCATACCTGCATGATGGCTATCGATAGTATAGTGAACAACACCATGTGGCCAAAGATATCTCGTATCTCCTATAGCATTTCTAAGCTGAAATAGAGCACATATTCTTATAAAGGTTTATTTTCTTACAGAATTTACCAAAATTACTAACCTAATTTTAGCATAGTGTTATTAACAATAATTTGCACGTCTCACATACATTTGATTCTTGTTCAGGCATCAGCTCCATGTCACCCTCGAACAAACCTAAAAATATAAAAGATTGGTACCACAGTTTTACTAAATAGGAATCAGAATAATGCAAGTAATAATAATAATAATAATAATAATAATAATAATAATGAAAATAATAATAATAAAAGGAATTCGATTTAATAAATAGGTACATGAATTGAATGATTGATTACTTATTTAAACTCTCTTACCAGGATTTTCCTCAGGATAAGCTTGATCAAATCCTAGTTTAAAAAAAAAAATCACTCATTTTTATTCGATTCTACTTAAAATGTTTAGTAACCATTTTTTTTTTATAAATCATTCATTGATTTAAATTTCACCGCCGAATCAAGTTAAAAAACTACTGTAAAAAGTAAACAGCCGAACTTACCATCTGGTACTTCCTAAAATACGGAGTGGTGAAGTTCATTATTTTTATGAAGAATTAAATATTTTACATAACGTTAGAAATTTATGTAATAATATTTACAATCATCGTTATAATATCCATTGCGCAAAAAAAAAAAAAAAGAAAAGAAAAGAAAAGAAAAGAAAAAAATGACAATTTTTGGGAAAAGTTTAAGATCTAAGATTTTCTGTTAATTGTTTATTGATTAATAAGTAATAATGACAAAAAGTACTAGCCTGTTTTGGCCTGGCGACAACTAATGTAACAAAGAACCCTATAAGCCACAACTTCATCCTGGTGTATTGTGAGATCAACTAGTGAAATTCAGCCAGGTCAGAAGGGCTTATAATTGAGTGTATGTTATGGAGGACTTACAGAGTCATCCGTGAATCTGACTATTAATTACTGAATGATAAGTTTTACATATTTCAGATGTACGTAGTGATACCCTTACACTGCTCTTTTTCGTGCGAAGTTGCATGGACAAATAAAAAAGGCATATTTTCAATTTCAATCTTCGATAGTATATAGGAACTGGAAACATATTCTTGTATTTTCAAAATAATAACAATAATGATTTGTACTTTTATATTTACCCTATGGCATCCAAATAAAACTTTGCGCTATTGAAGCAGTGTTCTGACTCTGAGGAAGCATACTGGAGAGACAGAGTCAAAGCTGTGCAGAAAAACAAATATTGGATCGACAACATTTTTTTTTCTGACAAAAAGCACTTTGGAAAACTTTTACTGTAGAAAATAAGCATGCTTTGAATTTTCAAATTTATTCTTAAAATCTTTGTATTTATTTACTTTTTTCTTTAAAAAATATGTATTTATCATTTATGAAGTACTTTAGATGATAAAACACGATGTTTATTTTTAAAATGATTTTTAATGAATAAAAGTCGTAATTATTCCGGATCCTTTCCTGTTGCCTCAAATTGACACCAAACTCCTTTTTTTTCAATGGTGTAGATTTCTCCATTCTTCAACATAGGTAAAAATTTCATAGCAGAATAAAAGTGAACTAGTATCGATACATTATGCATTTGATGAAATGCGTTACTTAACATGTATTGCCCTTTTTCTTGGTCTTTTATGAGCCATTCAGAGTCGACTGGCATGAGTTTGGATTTTTTCCTGAATTGTACATAGTTAAAATACAATATCCAAGCGTCAAAAGAACTAGTATGCGATAATATATAATGCCACATTCAATTCAGTTTCTGTAAACGCTATGTGAAATTTTGTTGCTATGTATGAGTTTCCATACAAAATCTTTGTAGCTTTAGTAACAGACTTTGCTGTGTCGTTACCAAACCTGTAAAAATCCGCCCCAATTCGTTTTGAATCACGTCATCATAGATTGGTCAACTTGGTACACCTTATAGTAAATGTTATGAACTTACTATAAAAGTGCAAGAAATCATCCTATTGTAGATATATGTAGATAATATATTGCTTAGATTGTTTGTTGAGGTTGATGTACGAGTTATTTGTCAGTCTCAGTTTGAATTTGCAAGTAACGAAAAGGAGAACGATTGAGAACTAATTAATTATTACTGCGTTTAGTTTGAGAGATCCTTGGAATGCACTTAACGTTATAAATAGTGTGGACTCACTTAATGCGGACGTAACATATTTGGGAGTTTCTAATGTTTACGACTTCAGAGAATTTTACGATTTTAACGAAGTAGTGATTCGTGAATGTGGCCAATGTTTTACAATGTTTTGTCTATAATTTATCAGATCCAACAAGATAAAAAAAAATCTTTTTTATTATTATTTATTTATTTTCCGTGACATAATTCTTCTTACAAAGAATGGTACCAAACATGGAGAAACATACCTGCTTCGCCAAAAATGTATTGTTTATCTACTTTTTGTTTGTCCCTGTGGTTTTAAGTTTTAACATCTTTACACAAGTTAAGAAAAACCAAACAAAGTTCTCTTTGGACATTAGATGGCAATATTGTCTACTGTGATTGTTACTATATCTAGAAATATGCATATTTCGCTGTCGATTTTTTTAAATGAAGCATTTCATTTTGATTGCTAACTTTATTTACTCGTTGTTGCGTTAATTGTTATTTAGGCCACTCCACTTGTATTTCTTGTACATTCATAGTTCATTTTATATACTAACCTTAATTGTTTAAGGAATCATTCTGCTGTGTTTTATACGTAGATAATATACTAGGCAAAAGGGCTAAGGCACCATTCAATATTCTCATATGTAAACAGAACATTTGCCTAATCGGCACGAGTAAATCTAAGATACTTGTTCAATGCCGTCGTAGGATTTGCCGATATCATGGTGTCAACACAAGACCCTCAAAAGAACTATTAATTTAGTATTTAGCTATGGTGGTCAGTGAGGTGACAACAGCGATGGTATCCTTGTCTCTCTAACGATTAGAGTGATATGTCTCTCATATCACATAGGAGTCACCCAGTGCTTTTGCATCTCGGTCCACCACACTTTTGCCACAGATGTTGCCACAGATTTACATTGCAATCTTGCAATAATTGTGTGGTGTATGTTGAATGCCGTGACCACCAATAGAATACATTTTCATATTTGTTAATCTAGTTAAAGCATTTTTAATATATTCGATCAGTGCATATTATCTATTCAAGATATATTACTAAAGTCAGGTACTCTTCACACAATTGCTCCGAAGAAAATAGTTCCATTCATGATCAGTAGATACAACATTACAACAAATGTTAAGAATAATGATGTATATTTAATACGTTAAAGAAAACAAAATTAACGTAAAAAGATTTTAAGAAAATCACTTTTCCCAAGAAAAGGAAATAAAAAGTTTTCATATTCCTACGCTCGCTGCCTCCTCAGTCTTTTTCACGAAAATATATAGGTCATCCTTCGATTGATAGTGATAAATCTTTTCACCAATTATATAACTGTCATGATTATTGTTCGTTAATTGCCGTATATTTTCTTTTGAGTGAGAATATTAATCATTAACTGTGTGTGTGTGTGTGTGTGGTTTTTTCTCTTTTTTTAAATAACGGAATGGTTATTATGTTGTTAAACACCTGCAATCGTAACTTCTCGGCAAAGCAACGTGATTTGCCGAGCTCGTCTGAAAGGATCTTCGCACGTGTGTAAACCTAGTCTATTTGGTCTTGCAAGCACAGGTATGTGCATCGTTCGCTAGTAACGCTTAGATCATGTAGACTGGGTATCAGTATTTGCTACGGACATGAAGAAGAACTATACACCAGTTTCATAACAAGTGCAGGTTTTTTTACTCAAGCCCTAGACTGGGCTAAAGGGGCTGAGTTACCTAAAACGATGCTAGGTCATTGATCTACTCAGTTTAAAAACACGAAAATATACTATTTTTGTAAATAAAAACATTTCTAGAAACAAAAATGAAGTTTATCTTCAAAACGTCTCTATATTCAAAATCTATATAAAGTGTTAAATGTCGGATTTTATTCTATGACGAAGGAGTGATGCTCCACAGCCGCAACCGATCTCGCGCTTTCCTTTGCGTTTAACAACGGCCGTCAATGCATCTCTAGACGAGTTCATTGATTACTCTTGTTGACCATCTTTAACATCTGCCTATACTTTGAGTTAAAGTACTTTAATAGCACAAAATTAAAAAATAAATTAAAATCTATCCTTGATAGATCTATAGTTTTGCTATTTATAAAAATTGGGCTATCTTTGATCTTTGCTTGGACTTGTTTCGAATTTTTACAGAAGATTCTAACATTGGAAAGTTAGATGGTACACATGTAGCACAGGCCCATAGTATGCGGGATTTTTTCGGAGCCCCCCCCCTTTCACTTTGAAAACGTTGCTACAGGCCTGTAACATGCTATTTGGATTAAATATTCCTGAAAATGAGTGAGCTGTTAAATACATCTTTAAAATTATACGGTTAATTATATTTAGTCTATGTTCTATGTGAAATTAAAACTTTTTCTATAGGCATCTGATACGTTGTGATAATAAAAGTCACTAATCGCATGTAACGTTATATACATGTATGTACATGCAGTTTCCTTAGTACATGCATATTTTATTCAACAAAAGATGTTGAAACCCAGTAGCCTAAATATTATGTCATTTTAGGTTATTTATGGCCATTGTATAGTTGACTTTCTACAGCTTGAGTATCTCTGACGTTTTATCAGTAAATAGTTTTTTTTTTAAAAATTAGAAATCATCTGAGCACAATGAAAATTCGAATAAATTAAAAGTCGAATATCTTGGATATGGGGTAACCCATATCTATTCTTGTTAATAGAGGAAACAAAAAAAATTTATTTATTTTATAAACCTTACAAAAGGAACACCCTGCAGAGATCATATTGACTGTCCTACCATGCCCTATGGTCAAGTACCGCTTAGGATGATTTTTTTCTGAGTTTTGTATGAATGCAAAAACAAAGAACCCAAATCAAGATAGAAAATAGATTTATCCCCCCCCTCCCCCCACCTACAGTGTGAGCACGATTTTCATACATTTCTATGAAATCGTTACGCTTCATTTAACATACGATTCTTCATTCAGATTGAGCATTTAAATGAATTACTTTTAACTTTTTTAACATATTATTAATACATTAAATTCATCATTAACAAGTTTTGAAAAGGTAATTATTTATGGTGGTTTGTTAGCAGTTTTATCTAGTATATTTTACTTAGGTTGTTTGCTGATGATACATTTAATGTTATCTGTCAATCTCTGTTTTAAATTGCATGTCCAAAAAAGAGTCTGAATAAGAACTGTATAGTTGTTACTGCGCTAAACTTATAGTTTGGGGGATCTTTGGAATGCACAGCGTTATGAATAGTGTGGACTCACTGAATGCGGCCGTTGTAACGAGTTTGGGAGTGTCAGATGTTTATGACTTCTGAGCATTTTACGTTTCGTAACAAGAAATAGTGATTCACGAATGCGGTCAATGTTTAACAATGTTTTCTCTATGTAGCATACACGTGTTGAACTAAGTATATGTTTTTTTTTATTAATATATCGAAGGATTTTGCAAGAAATCCTGTCCAAGAAAGATACTCTTCTTAAAAGCAATTTGTACTGATGTTTGAAATTACTGCACTTTTTCACCATAAAAGAATGTTTATTGAGCATTTATTTAATATTTGTTTTTGCAATTCCTGCATCTCTATAGACAACACAAGTAAAGAAAACCAATGAAAGTTCTCCTTAAACTACATGGCAATATAGTCAACTGTGATGGTAACCATTTACAGAAATATGCGTATCTTGCCTCTCGATAGACTGTCAATTTTATTTTATGGTTACTATTCCTTTAATTATTTCTAGAAATGTTGCCTCGGTCTTGTTTTCGTTGAAAAGATCATAAAATGATCTCGCTAACCTATGAAAAATCTGTGAGCATAGTAAGATTTCGCTGCATGTCCGTAAAGTTAAGTTGTGAACATGACTTCTTCTTGCTCCAAAGATGGTTCAGACCATCTCAAAGAATATTTTCTGAACGTAGCTTTAGCTAGAGAAAAAGGCAAATTTCGACAAAAAATCGTAAAAGTAAAGACTGGAAAACATGGTTTACTTTGGTGAATCTTCACTTGTAATTACACCTTTTATGTATGCTATCACACTAGTGATCATTTACACTAGATTTCACTAATGGGATATAGAAGTAAGTAAAACCTTTTTTATAAAAAGATGTTAAAAAGAAAAGAATTGATGATATATTTGAACATTAACGTAATGTATTTCAGTGTTAGTGTCTTGTCTCACTTTGCATAATCCTTTAATTCTATCTCTCAATTTGTATGGGAGCCTGGTTAGAAAGTCAGTAGGGATCTTTTTGATATTTTAGTAAAACATTTGACTTATTTACACATATAACATATTGACATCAAAATCAATATGCTTTAATCGCGAACTTTATTCCAAATGTTATATACTGTATATAGTATGTATGTCAGATGTACTAAATAGACTTAAATCTTAGTACAAATATTCTTGCTATCAGCAAGCTCCCGACCTTTCGTGTTATGAGGTGTCTGTACTGTGTCCTTATCAGTAGGACACCATATTAGTCTTATTTCTAAATTATTCTTAGCAGTGCCTATTTACACGAATTCATCAGTCGGTCCATAATTATATTGATTAGCTTTCTAGAGATATCGAGATTCGTAAACTGAAATGGTAGCTAATTTCTGAAAGAAGATTTTACAAATTTTGTAATGTCTATACTATGAAACGTATGTGTATTGCTGATTTATTATCATTTTTCTTAACTATGCTATTTGCTGTTTCAATGGAAGAGGTTACAAAATAGTTTTTAAAAATATAAGCTACACCATGTAACATCATCCACTTCAACATGTTCAATGCTACCATCTCATTTTTGACAAAATAAAATGTTTCACAAAATTTATATATTGTATAAATGTAAGATTAAAACGCCAGTCGTGTTTTTAATAAAAAATTCATAGTATAAATAGCTCGTCTAAAATTTTAAGTTATGATTACATGAAGTCAATCAAAAGAGAGAACATTGTAAATGGAGGGTGGAAGAGGATGTTGTAAAAAGTTGGGAGAAGGGGTTGGAGAGAAGATGTGAGAGGTTGGGAGGGGAGAGAAAGTAAGACAGTGAGTTGGGAGGGTTTCCCTTGTTCAACTCTACGTCAACCTTATCAAAGCCAAAAATAAATACGTGTATTTGTGCAGTGTGAAAATATCGTGACAAAGGATCTTCACATTTTCTTATCATTCTGACCTTGTATCGATTTTGTGCTACATGAATTCTTATCATAATGTATATTTCACCAAAAGGCATGATGATGTCGGATATACATAATTTAATCATGAAAACTATTATGAAACTAATGCATAATTATAATATTCTGTCAATGTTTTCATTTGAGACCGTCAATTTGATGCTTAGAATTTTCAGGAATTCCTCAATTTGTTAGTGATAAAATATACTGAGACTTTATATGATACTTTCATATATAACTGTCAACAAGTATTTGACTGAAGAAATTTGATTTGCTAGGGCGATATTCTTTTGCAGTTTTCTCGATTATTTCATTTATAATTTCATGGAACTTTTTAAAACATTTTACTAGAGTTTTGGAGAACAAAAAAAAAAAAAAAGGCTGAAAATCCTTTTAAATGTTTACCTTTAATTATCATACATTTATTACAAGATTCAGCAATGATTCGGTGTCACTGATAAATCGTCAATAGCAATATCACTATGGTAACCATTTCCAGTGTGTCCTTCGATTTCAAACTACAACAATACGTATTTTATAATAAATAAGATTCTTCCAAATAATCATGTTGAATAGCGCAGGCTGTCATACTGATATAAATTTCACAACTCGGACCAAAATTATACCTGTTATGATTTTAAAAATGGATAAGTGAGATTTTTGAAGTGCTATAATAAATTAAGATACTAGTAAATTATGATTTTTGACGGAAAAATTTCGGAACATCTCGGATGAGGACCTACCTGGAATGAGGAAGCATGTACGTTGATACTCAACCTCATATGGAGCCATCTGTTACCATGATCACCTGTATATCTCTTCATCGTGTAAACACGTCCGTGTTGAACAATGTTGAATTGTAAATACCCAGTCTGTTGTCCATACATGTGAAAGTAAACACTGAAGCAATATTGTCCACCAGGGAACACTGGTGAGTCTAACTTGGCTGTTTTCTGAAGATGGCTGCTGGCCTCGAGGTATAAATAGTGTCCTGACAGGAAATAGACAAGATACTTACAGATTCTCTTTTTATTACTTTGAAGTGTAAGCAAACTAATATCATTAACGAGGTTCTGAGATTTTTAGCTCACCTGAGCCGAAGGCTCAAGTGAGCTTTTCTGATCACATTTTGTCCGTCGTCCGTCTGTCCGTCTGTCTGTCTGTCAGTCCGTCCGTCTGTAAACTTTTCACATTTTTGACTTCTTCTCAAGAACCACTGGGCCAATTTTGACCAAACTTGGTACAAAGCATCCTTGGGTGAAGGGGAATTTAAATTGTTAAAATGAAGGGCCAAGTCCCCTCACAAGGGGAGATAATCAAGAGAAGACAAAAATAGGGTGGGGTCATTAAAAAATCTTCTTCTCAAGAACCACAGGGCCAGTAAAGCTGAAACTTATATGGAAGCATCCTGGGGTAGTGTAGATTCTAAATTGTTCAAATCATGACCCCCGGGGGTAGGGCGGGGCCACAATGTGGAATCAATGTTTTACATAGAAATATATAGGAAAAATCTTTAAAAATCTTCTCAAGAACCACTGGGCCAGAAAAGCTGAAATTTATGTGGAAGCATCCTGGGGTAGTGTAGATTTTAAATTGTTCAAATCATGACCCCCGGGGGTAGGGCGGGGCCACAAGAGGGAGTCCAAGTTGTACATTGAAATTAATAAGAAAAATCTTTTAAAATTCTTCTTCTCAAGAACCACTTGGCCAGAAAAGCTGAAAATTATGTGGAATCATCCTGGGGTAATGTAGATTCTAAATTTTTCAAATCATGACCCCGGGGGTAGGGCGGGGCCACAATAGGGAATCCAAGTTTTGCATTGAAATATATAGGAAAAATCTTTAAAAATCTTCTTCTCAAGAACCACTGAGCCAGAAAAGCTGAAACTTATGTGGAATCATCCTTGGGTAGTGTAGATTCTAAATTGTTAAAATCATGACCCCCGGGGATGGGGCGGGGGCCACAATAGGGAATCCAAGTTTTACATTGAAATATATAGGAAAAATCTTTAAAAATCTTCTTCTCAAGAACCACTGAGCCAGAAAAGCTGAATCTTATGTGGAAGCATCCTGGGATAGTGTAGATTCTAAATTGTTCAAATCATGACCCCGGGGGTAGGGCGGGGCCACAATAGGGAAACATTGAAATATATAGGAAAAATCTTTAAAAATCTTCTCAAGAACCACTGGACCAGAAAAACTGAAACTTATGTGGAAGCATCCTGGGGTAGTGTAGATTCTAAATTGTTCAAATCATGACCCCCGGGGTAGGGCGGGGCCACAATAGGTATTACAAGGGGGAAGTCTGGTAATGAACAGCATGGCCAAAGTTACTCAGGTGAGCGATGTGGCCCATGGGCCTCTTGTTTCAGTATGATTCTCTTTATTCAGAGTGCTTGTGGGTATTAAGACAAGCAAATAGGCAGTCTTGGAGTGTAATAATTTCCTTCTAACTATACATACAGAGAGAGAGAGAGAGAGAGATCTACCAGATGTGCTTCCGTAGTGATCAACACTTGGGCCTGTGTTTGCACTTGGTGTACGCCCATGTCCATCTGTCCAGTCAAGGTTATCTGTTCTGGATTGGGTCCACCCACAAAGTCCATGGTCGAAAGTACATGTTGAAGCTACAAAGGAAAACCCCAGTCATTTTTAAACAATCTGATGAAAAAATGTATATACACGATACTTTATAATTGTGTAAACTAGGATTGAAAACATACCTTGATTTGATGGGAAGGTATCTGAAAGGGAGGAGAAAATTTGTTCAATTTATGTTTTCATACCTTGCAGCTAAAGATAGATTGTTGACAAATACCAGGAATAATATAGACATTTAAGTTTTTAACCTACTTATTAATAAATGATTATTAAAACTTTAATAAAATAATTAAATTATAAACTTATCTTATAAATTTTTTTATATGTATTTTGAATGCCAAAATATGATTACTATGTATTTTACAGTGTAATTAAAATTATTGAGAACTATTTTTAAAGAAATCGTACTTCTAAGAAAACTAAAATACATCCAATTTCAATATTATTCAAACAATTCTAATATGGCTATATAGAGAAAATCTGGATAAGTGAATCAAGTCCCTCAAAGACATGACATTTCATGTTTTACATGGAATTACATGCACATATATTATTCTACAATCTTGATAAATTGCAAAACTTACGTGAAGTAGCTGTTACGTGATGAATTGTGACATGAGGAGGGGAGGTAGCTCCTGTCACTGCTCCACCTGGTGGTGACCCTGGTCTGGGAATACAACCGTAACGAATCTGAATTTCCTTGGCATCGATGTCGCTCAATCGAACACGTTGACCGATCGTCACGCCGGGCTGCAAAGTCTCAATTGTGACTTGTCGTCTGTTGACGGCGAAAGCATAGGCGCTGTAGTGCATCACGGATCCATAGTCGTAAGGTTCGTTCAACATATCTAATTTGGGTCCTACCTGGTATTTATCGAAGTTTCTTTCGTGACCTTAAAGTTCAATAAGTTTTGTATATATATATATATATATATATATATATATATATATATATACCTTGATCTATTATGACGTCACAATGAACTTTTGCTTTTGGACGTTACCAGATAATCTACCTGACATTTGTATAACTGCCTGAAGAGCCTATCATGGCGAAAGCGCTTGCAGAAAATATTTTGTGATTTTTTGGATTTTTATTTTTAATACCGGTATATATATATATATATATATATATATATATATATATATATATATATATATATATATATATATATATATATGAGAGGAAAACTATGCATGCTAACAATAATACTGTAGTCATTCTAAAGCTTTTTGCAAGCTCAAAGTGTTCTTTCTACAGTTTGTCCATCTATCCTCATACAGACCAGGTTGAATGTTGTCAAAATGGATTTTGACGTAGCTATCTCTGTCAGCTCTACTCTGTTCGTGCCAGAAACCGAGAGCATGTAAAATTTCATGCATCACAGTTCCTTTCCTCAGGCATCCTGTTCCCAGAGTTACGTCAGAACGTCTGCCATGGTAACCAACAGGTGTATGACATCTTAATAAAGAAAAGTAAGTTTAAGTTAAAATACCCCTCAGATTGTCAGTGGAAAATTTATTCTGTAAATATGTATTGCCATACCCAGATCCATATGTAAACTGGATGTAGGCACGTTCGCTTCCCCTTGGCTGAAAGTCGATGCATTTCCTACCATTAACCATGGTCTTATCCATAATCTCCTGCATGGCAGCTTTAAACACCTGAACATGTGATGGAATCGCTGAAAATAAATGTTTTGACGATCACTTGCGATCTCATACCAATTTTTTGAATATTTTTTAAGCAAAGAAATGAAATTTCAGCTATTTTATTCTGAGTAACATCGATATAAGCCACTGGTCCTGTTTTCATTCTATTGTGGAAATAGAATGGACATAAACCCGTGGCTTGCGATGATGCGGTCTCGGGAAACTACATGTATCTTCCACTTTACATGCTTGTGTCCACTAAAATTATATACATCAATAATTTTAATATAGACTGGATTTTTTTTACCTGCATGATGAGAATCGATCGTATAGTGAACCACTCCATGTGGCCACAGGTATCTAGTATCACCTATAGCATTTCTTAACTGTAAAATCAAAGTTGATGCATTTCTAAGTATGTTAGGATGTCAACATTGGAGAAAGGTAAGGATGAAATATTTTAGAAGTCAATTCTGTTCTATTCGAATCTTCAAAATATAAATTACACATTACTACAGTATATCGTATATTATTATCAGGGAATTTTGAGGTTGAATTATGAAAGGCTATCATCTAAATTAGCGTAAAATCTCCATACTTTAACTTTACAATACCTGTATTTGCAAAAAAATTACTATGTTAGCAGGAAGGGAAACTCACATTTGATTCTTGTTCAGGTTGTAATTCAATGTCGCCCTCAAATAAGCCTGGAAGGCAAAATAAATGATGTCGAAAAAGATAAAACATTTCTTTTGTTTATGGATTGTTTGTTAGTTTGTTTTAAATTTTCACAATTATTTAAGCGATTCAAACCTGGATTTTCTTCTGGATAATCAGGATCAAAGCCTAAGAAGTGGAAAGGAAATAGTTACTGTCTTGCTTTCTACTTAAAGTAAATGACATTTAACATATAATGTACATGTATGTATATGAAAAGTGTATTGACATGAAAGATGATAAATTAAGACTTACCAACAGGAACTTCCTTAAAAATACAAGTACATATTACATGATTTTTTTTCTATTTATATCTACATCATTATTTTCACCCCCATGCAATAAAAAAAGTACGTCGTGTTTTAAAGACGACAATTGATAATAGATGAAATAGGTAAATAAATTATTAGTTTTTCCAACCCCAATTATTTATATGTTTGATTTGTTTTGTTTTGTTTGTTTGTTTGTTTGTTGTTTTTTTCATTATGGTAAAGGAAATTCGTGAAATAATATTTGAGGAACAATCTTAGAATATAGTATTCAAGCAAAGTTATTTGGTTGTTAGTCTTTGACCTCTATAAAATAAACCAGTAAATATTTTTGCGAAAATAAATTTTCTGAAACTGTTGAAATCTTCATTTGGTGCTAATGTTAATGATATTAGAATTTACAAAATTTACCAAATTCAACTTTGAGTTTTAAAAGGAGTAGAATTTATATAAGTATATATAAAGAAAATCCTTATAGAAAGTTCGATTTGAATTGAATGTTTAATTTTAATAAAAGTTAATATTTCCATGAAGCACTTACTGGTTGTGGTCTGGCGTTAACCAGCGTAATCAGGATTGCTACTAGCGACAACTGCATACTTGTGTGGGATTTGACCAAGTGGTAAATAATTTAGTGCACTCTGAATGATATGCAATTGTATGGAAACCCTCTTGTGTGTGGGATTTTTTTTTTTTTGCAGATGTATACATAACTTTGAGTGTATGATTATTTTTACTATATTATGTATGATTGGGTTTCCTATGGGACTATTTGGTACTTTGGAGTTTTCAGAATGCAATTTTCAATACAATAAAAAAAATCAAAGAAAAATAGATAGTATTATCTATTTGTTTCTTTGAGTTATTTGAGTATTGAATAAATAATTCTTAAATCATTTCTAGGTTAGTCAACGTATTCAGATGTTAGATAATAATCCTTAAGAATTTCTTGAATAAACCGCATATTTAATAGTTGTATCTTTTTCATTTTTTTTTTTTTTTTTTGCGAGAAAATTTGAATTGTAGTGTGTTTATCATTTTGGCTCATTCATCAAATAAAGGTTTAATTTTACTTGACAATTAACTGTATACACATTAGAGCTATATCATAAATGAAAATGTATACTGCATGCATTGGGAATTTTACCACAGATGAAGTATCTAGACTGCCATGTATTTGGGATATAAAGAATTTAAAGTTTATTGAGGGAAGAATTCTAGAACTTCAGATTCATTGCAAAAAAGAGAGTTAAAGATATGCTGGATAAAGATATAACCTATCTCAATGATAGTTTTGTTTGGATGAGATCTAGGCAGAGTGTCCATCTTTATTACAAAGGCATGATTACGTTTCCGTACTGCTCTGTACATGTATGTGCATATAGAATATTCTACAATGTAGGTCGTGGGACAAAAACGATGACCTTTCTCTTCTTATGAAAGAAAAAAAAAATAAAAAGGATCAGGAAGCTTTTTCATAATTTTGGTTACAAAGCGAAAAGAGAAGAAAAATTGATCTGCCGGTTGATCTTATTAATGGAATTGGTTCCATTTTGTTTTTGTTTTTGTTTTTTACTAACCTCTGTAGGAAGCATGTTAACTTATTTACTTTTAAAGAGTAAATTAAAAAAAAAATACTACACATAGTAGCATTGAACAGAAAGCTCAAGATAACACAATGATATCATATAGCTAAGGGTCATTTGACGTGGGCGCCTGAATGAGGCAGAGGCTTTAGGGGACAGATTATTTTGCCTTTCCCATGTGTCCAGGGGGAACCCTGAAAGGTGAGGGGGCAAAAGCCTGACCTGTCGGATTTTAAAAATTATATAATACATTGTATCCGTTTTCTAATCACCTGGAGCAAGTTCCATTCCATTCTATCGTTGTATTCGATTGTCTGTAATTGTTCATCCACTTATATAATATATAAGATCTAAAGCATTAGTATTCAAAATTGTGGTTATCAACATATAGAAGGCTTTCCTTTGTAAAACATTCCTCGCTCCCTATCCCCGGAAAATAGGCTCTAAAGTAGGAATTCCCCCACGGAAAATGAATCTAGAGTAGGATTTCTCCTACGGAAATCCCATACCAGATTCAATTTTCCGGGGGAAACCGTACTCTGTGTAATAATTATAAATCCAATGAAATATCATGCCTTTACTTATATATGGGGGGGGGGGGGGGGGGTGACGACGCATTGTTACAAGTGTCCCTTCTATAATTTTCCAACAGGTGCTTTCGCAATAGACAGTCTTAATAAAACTTCACAGAAAAAGTAATCAAAAAGTCTAGTTGTGCCTTCAACATTTAAAATTTTCATAAAAATGGCGACCAGTTCCTTTGATACATACATGTACGAAGTATGAAAATTGTTAATTTCAAATCTAATATTTTTAGTAACTGCCCAACCAATTCTTTTGAAGCATTAAAGTTTTATTCTTTTCTTCTCCTTAAACTCTTGTGAAAAAAAACATTATAGTACAATATAATTGGTTGGACAACTTTTTAACTGTAGTTATTGAAGTTTAAAGGAGGAATTTTATTTTTAATGGATTTTTTCCGATCAAAGCATAAATTAGGAGGTGCACAATAGCACTATGTTATAAAGATTCTTTGAAAGTCTCATTAAATTTTATTCAGTGGTATAGGAGGAGTTGCGGATAAGAGATGGGTATCCCGATAATTATAGAAAGAATGTTAATGTCCATGTTTTACAATGGAAAGCCTGAAATATGTGTCTGATCAAAAAGTACATTAGGAGATCAAAATGGCACTATGTAACAAAGATTCTGTGAAAGTCTCATCAAATTTTATTCAATGGTAAAGGAAGAGTTGTGGATAAGAAATGATTATCCTCGATTTTATAGAAAGAATGGCAGTGTACATTTTTTTTTTTGGGGGGGGGGGGGGGGAGGGGGGCTATGGGAAACCCGAAATATGTGTCCGATCAAAAAAATTAAAATAAAAGGTGCACAATGGCATTATGTTATAAAGATTCTGTGAAAGCCTCAATAAATTTTATTTAGTGGTATAGGAGGAGTTGCGAATAAGAGATGGGTACCGAAAGCGTACGGAAGGACAGATGAACCGTGGTACAAACGGACGGTCGGACACCCCAATCACTACTCACTCCCCGCTTTTCAAGCAGGGAATATAATAAAAACCGGTCAATGTTTAAGAATTCGAATTTTACAAAACGTTAAGAGAGTATTTGCTTTCTGCTTCAGTCAAATCCAATATTGCACCGCTGGATTCGAGGGGACATACTTATGCTCGAAATCAAAGTTGCTTGTATTTTTATACCCACGGTTTAAAAGCGGGGGGGGGGGGGGTATAGTGATGGGAGTGTCCGTCCGTTACGTTTTGGGGAACCCATTTCTTATCTTCAACTCCTCTTATAGCACTGAATAATATTTAATGAGACTTTCAACTAAACTTACATAGTGCCATTTTCCACCACTTATTTTTTATATTTTGATCGGGCGCTTAATTCGGGTTTCCCTTAACAAAGACACTGTCATTCTTTCTATAATATTGGGGTACCCATCTCTTATCTGCAACTCCTTCTATACCACCATACTGCTTCTATACTGTGCGGGGGTATCATTTTGTGAGTTCAGTGCTCACAGCACCAGGCTCCGGGGCCATAAAACTTAGATGAACTCACTTTTGATCTCAGTCTCACTTTTCCACTATATATTCCTTTTATAAAAGTGAGACTGAGATCAAAAGTGAGCTCATCTAAGTTTTATGGCCCCGAAGCCTGTAGTCTACTCTGGATTAGCTATGTAGATTACAGAATTTTAGAATGGTTGATATAACCCCATCCCTCCCACAAGCATGATTTATGTTAAAATATTGGAATCACTAAACGTCCGAATTCTGTCTGTGGACTTTTTTGTCCATGGATTATAAACAAACCTTTTCAATATTTTTCCCCAGACGTAACTTAGTAATTACACATCATCGGAACATGTACTCCTGTAATAAATACAACTTTGAAACGGGCGAAGGTTGAAGCTTGGGACCAGGGGCCTGTTCAACAGAGAGAACTTCGCGAGCGCTCACCAAAATTCCTTATCCCTTCAACAGAAATGTTCGCGAGCGCTCGCTCTGTTGAACAGGCCTCTGAAGTGTGTCTTGATCCTGTACGAAGTTGATTCAGAAAAGCGCGAACTTTTTAAATATTTCATAAAACACCCAACCAAAATTATAATTTTTTACACATTGCTGTGAAATAATATTTTCGATCATTTGGAAAATATAAAAAGGTTGTAAAGTCATGCAAGTGGAAATGGTATTTAAAGGGTGTTAAATGTCGACGGTCGGCACATCGCAATTTTTGACTTTTAAAAATAGCATTGTCAGCGAGGTTTTCTTTATAACCAGATTGAAATATAATGAAATATAATGTAACCAAAAAAGAAAAAAAAAAACAACTCTATACTCTGGAGTTTTGATGTGTGGAAATTCATTAATTGACATCATAAATGATAAATATATTTCGTTATATGCACATACATGTGATATTGCCAATGTCATTGGCGACGTCGGGTAATGCGGCGCACCAAATTATCATTCTACATGAAAAGAGAAAAATACTTGCTGTGGCCTTCAATTCCAGATTTAGATATGCCGACGGCATATTATCAATTAACAATAGTTACTTCCATTAATATATCGACTCGATATATCCCAGTGAACTTGAAATAAAAGATACCAGAGTCTGACACATTTATTTCATATTTGGATATTTTACTAGAAAAAGACGTTAATGGTGACCTAAGACAAAACTTTATTTTATACACAAAATAAAACAAGGTTTAAGAGTACAGTTGGTTTAATATCTAACATTTTAGTAATTCAAACAAGCATTCTGAGAGTATTGCATTAGCAATACTAGTCCCCTACCGGCAAGTGTAATCTGGTTCCCGTTAAGAATTGAAAATGTCATAATTCCCTCAAAAATCAATGAAGCTGAACGAAATGCAAACTTGATCTATAACTAATCAAGGTAAAGTCACATACCAAAAATCAGCTCAACATCTGAAAGCGTGTAGAAGAAAATTGCGGAAAACCCTTAAAAATTGAAAAGGCCATAATTCCGTCAAAAATCAATGAAGCGGAACGAAATGCAAACTTGATCTGTAACTCCTCAAGATACATTTACATAACAAAAATCAGCTCAATATCTGCAAGCGTTTAGGAAAACCAAGTGGGACAGACTGACAGACAGACAGACGGACAGCTAGACAGGCGGACGGACGGACAGACTCAGAGGAAACCTATAACACTTGAACACATTAAAAACTAAGGAAGAAAATTGTACATTCTCAATTACTCGTATTTTGGCAGTCAGAGGGCTACTCATTACTTTCTCTACCTTTCATTCCTAAACCTAAAGCAACCACTAAATATCCCAGGAAAGCAAAATGTCTTGGGCTGATCCGCAACTTCCCTTATTTATGCAGAAATATACCCTTATCACCTGCATATGGAGTTTATGTCTCCCAGTTGATTCGATATGCAAGAGCATGCTCTACGTTAGAACAATTTCTAAAACGAGGCAAGCTATTGACAAGTTGATAAAAC